TAGCCGACACAGATATACCCCGTAGCCGACACAGATATACCCCGTAGCTGACACATTTATACTCCGTAACTGACACAGATATACTCCTTAGCTGACACAGACAAACTCCGTAACTGACACAGATATACCCCGTAGCCGACACAGATATACCCCGTAGCCGACACAGATATACCCCGTAGCTGACACATTTATACTCCGTAACTGACACAGATATACTCCTTAGCTGACACAGACAAACTCCGTAACTGACACAGATATACCTCATAGCCGACACAGATATACCCCGTAGCCGACACAGATATACCCCGTACCCGACACAGATATACCCTGTAGCTGATATACCCCATAACAGACACAGATATACCCTGTATATCTGTGTCAGCTGCGGTGTATATATGTGTCAGCTACGGGGTATTTCTTTGTCAGCTGCGGTGGATATATGCGTCAGCTACAGGGTATAACTGGGTCAGCTACGGGGTATGTCTGGGTCAGCTGCGGGGGATATATGTGTCAGCTACAGAGTATAACTGTGTCAGCTAAAGGGGATATCTGTGTCAGCTACCGGGTATAACTGTGTCAGTTACGGAGTATAAATGTGTCAGCTACCGTATATCTGTGTCGGCTACGGGGTATATCTGTGTCTGTTATACTTCATAGCCGACACAGATATACCCTGTAGCTGACACAGTTATACCCTGTAGCTGACACATATATCCACCGCAGCTGACACAGACATACCCCGTAGCTGACACAGATATACCCTGTAGGTGACACAGTTATACCCTGTAGCTGACGCATATATCCACCGCAGCTGACACAGACATACCCCGTAGCAGACACAGATATACCCTGTAGCTGACACAGATATACCCCGTAGCTGACACAGATATACCCTGTAGCTGACACAGTTATACCCCTTAACAGACACAGATATACCCCGTAGCCGACACAGATATACCCCGTAGCTGACACAGATATACTCCATAGGTGACACAGTTATACCCTGTAGCTGACACAGATATACCCTGTAGCTGACACAGTTATACCCTGTAGCTGACACAGTTATACTCCATAGCTGACACAGTTATACCCTGTAGCTGACACAGATATACCCCATAACAGACAGAGATATACCCCGTAGCTGACACAGTTATATTCCATAGGTGACACAGTTATACCCTGTAGCTGACACAGATATACCCTGTAGCTGACACAGATATACCCCGTAGCTGACACAGATATACCCCGTAGCTGACACAGATATACCTTGTAGCTGACACAGATATACCCCATAGCTGACACAGATATACCCTGTAGCTGACACAGTTATACCCTGTAGCTCACACAGTTATACCCTGTAGCTGACACTGTTATACCCCGTAGCTGACACAGATATCCCCTGTAGCTGACACAGTTATACTCCATAGCTGACACAGATATACTCCTTAGCTGACACAGACAAACTCCGTATCTGACACAGATATACTCCTTAGCTGACACAGACAAACTCCGTAAATAACACAGATATACCCCGTAGCTGACACAGTTATACTCCGTAACTGACACAGATATACCCCATAACAGACACAGATATACCCCATAACTGACACAGATATACCCCATAACAGACACAGATATACTCCATAACAGACACAGATATACCCATAACAGACACAGATTACCCCATAACAGACACAGATATACCCCATAACAGACACAGATATACCCCATAACAGACACAGATATACTCCTTAGCTGACACAGATAAACCCTGTAGCTGACACAGTCTGTCAATGTCGGTCATCCAGCCTAATATGGCTCAGGAAAATTTAGACCTGAACAATATTTTTCAGCAATTTCTGATAGTACTTACTTTGTGACTCATTCTGTGTTTGATGAGGAAAGCCAGTGCACAGATGAAGAGGAAAGCTCCTACCACAATGAGGCCATACTGCACTGCCTGTGTGATTCTTATTGGCGTCAGCAGACCCGACTTGTACTCATTGGCTGATTTGTCATCTATCAAGGCACTCTGTAAAATATTTTATTGTTTCTTCTCACAGATTAAGTTGTAATAAAAACAATTCCTCTCAAAAAATATCTGCTCGCTTTAATAATGAATCTATTTGGACTAATCCATAATCAGTCTCGTGTTTCAACCTAATCGTTTGTGTCGTAATGTGTTACAGTGTGATATTTTGTGTGGTAATGACAGACACATGTGTTACATTGTGATATTTTGATGTGTAATGAACGACACATGTGTTACAGTGTGATATTTTGTGTGGTAATGACAGCCACATGTGTTACAGTAAGATGACAGACACATGTATTACAGTGATGACCGACACATGTGTTACAGTGTGATATTTTGTGTGGTAATGACAGACACATGTATTACAGTGTGATGACCGACACATGTGTTACAGTGTGATGACCGACACATGTGTTACAGTGTAATGACCGACACATGTGTTGCAGTGTGATGACCGACACATGTGTTACAGTGTGATGACCGACACATGTGTTACAGTGTGATGACCGACACATGTGTTACAGTGTGATATTTTGTGTGGTAATGACAGACACATGTGTTACAGTGTGATATTTTGATGTGTAATGAACATCAAAATATCACACTGTAACACATGTGTCTGTAACACAAACATTAAGGCTACTTGCACGACATTCTTACAAACAGGTAATACAAACATTAAGGCTACTGGCACGACATTCTTACAAACAGGTAACACAAACATTAAGGCTACTGGCACGACATTCTTACAAACAGGTAACACAAACATTAAGGCTACTGGCACGACATTCTTACAAACAGGTAACACAAACATTAAGGCTACTGGCACGACATTCTTACAAACAGGTAACACAAACATTAAGGCTACTGGCACGACATTCTTACAAACAGGTAACACAAACATTAAGGCTACTGGCACGACATTCTTACAAACAGGTAACACAAACATTAAGGCTACTGGCACGACATTCTTACAAACAGGTAACACAAACATTAAGGCTACTGGCACGACATTCTTACAAACAGGTAACACAAACATTAAGGCTACTGGCACGACATTCATAAAAACAGGTAACACAAACATTAAGGCTACTGGCACGACAGTAATAAAAACAATTCCTCTCAAAAAATATCAGCTCGCTTTAATAATGAATCTATTTGGACTAATCCATAATCAGTCTCGTGTTTCAACCTAATCGTTTGTGTCGTAATGTGTTACAGTGTGATATTTTGTGTGGTAATGACAGACACATGTGTTACAGTGTGATATTTTGTGTGGTAATGACAGACACATGTGTTACAGTGTGATGACAGACACATGTATTACAGTGATGACAGACACATGTGTTACAGTGTGATATTTTGTGTGGTAATGACAGACACATGTATTACAGTGTGATGACCGACACATGTGTTACAGTGTAATGACCGACACATGTGTTACAGTGTGATGACTGACACATGTGTTACAGTGTGATGACAGACACATGTGTTACAGTGTGATATTTTGTGTGGTAATGACAGACACATGTGTTACAGTGTGATGACAGACACATGTGTTACAGTGTGATGACAGACACATGTGTTACAGTGTGATATTTTGTGTGGTAATGACAGACACATGTGTTACAGTGTGATGACCGACACATGTGTTACAGTGTGATGACTGACACATGTGTTACAGTGTAATGACTGACACATGTGTTACAGTGTGATGACCGACACATGTGTTACAGTGTGATGACCGACACATGTGTTACAGTGTGATATTTTGTGTGGTAATGACAGACACATGTGTTACAGTGTGATATTTTGATGTGTAATGAACATCAAAATATCACACTGTAACACATGTGTCTGTAACACAAACATAAGGCTACTTGCACGACATTCTTACAAACAGGTAATACAAACATTAAGGCTACTCGCACGACATTCTTACAAACAGGTAACACAAACATTAAGGTTGGACATGGTTATATGAAAACATGTTTAAAAGATCCATAGAGCAATTTTTAACATTTACATTAGAAAATCCTTTCTGAAAGACAGAAACTTGTTTCATTTATGCTGAGTGAGAATTAGTCATGATCATTATTGTAACAAAGGAGAATCCAGACTTGATTGAAGGTTGACTTTAACAACATACTCACTTCATTAAACCACATTATTGTAACAAAGGAGAATCCAGAATTAATTGAAGGTTGACTTTAACAACATACTCACTTCATTAAGACACATTATTGTAACAAAGGAGAATCCAGGCTTGATTGAAGGTTGACTTTAACAACATACTCACTTCATTAAGCCACATTATTGTAACAAAGGAGAATCCAGACTTGATTGAAGGTTTACTTTAACAGTATACTCACTTCATTAAGCCACATTATTGGGAAAAACACCTCCTTGATATTTGCTGTAGATCTGTAAAAAAAGGATACATGTTATTGAACAAAGTAAACATGTCTATAACACAACCTGTCTATAAAAGACAGGTCCTAATGGTCCATTACCTCAGACAACCTGTCTATAAAAGACAGGTCATTACCTCAGACAACCTGTCTATTAAAGAAAGATCCCAATGTCCCTTTACTTAAGACAACCTGTCTATAAAGGACAGATCCCAATGTCCCTTTACCTATGTGAACCTGTCCATTAAGAACAGATACAAATGTCCCAGTATGTGTTAGACAGCCTGTCTATTCAGAACAGATACCAATGCCCCATTATCTAAGACGGCCTGTCTATTAAAGACAGATCCCAATGTCCCTTATTGTAAGACAACCTGTCTATTAAAGACAGACACCAATGCCCCATTACCTAAGACATTCTGTATTTAAAGGACAGATCCTAATATCCCATTACCTTGCACAACCTGTCTATAAAGGACAGATCCTAATGTCCCATTACCTAAGACAATCTGTTTATAAAGGACAGATCATTATGTTCCACTACCTAAGACAATCTGTCTATAAAAGACAGATCATAATGTCCCATTACCTAAGACAACCTGTCTATAAAGGACAAATACTAATGTTGGATTGCCTGAGACAACCTGACTATAAAGGACAGATTCTAATGTCCCTTTACCTAAGACAACCTGTATATATGGGACATTTCCTAGTGTCTCATTACCTAAGAAACCTGACTATAAAGGACAGACCCTAATGTCCCATTACCTAAGACAACCTGTCTATAAAAGACATCTCAATGTCCCATTACCTCAGACAACCTGTCTATAAAGGACAGATCCTAATGTCCCTTTACCTTAGACAACCTGTATATATAGGACATTTCCTAATGTCCCATTACCTAAGACAACCTGTCTATAAAAGACAGATCCCAATGTCCCATTACCTCAGACAATCTGTCTATAAAAGACAGATCCCAATGTCCCATTACCTCAGACAATCTGTCTATACAAGACATCTGTCTATTAAGGACAGATCTCAATGTCCCATTACCTCAGACAATCTGTCTATAAAAGACATCTGTCTATTAAGGACAGATCCCAATGTCCCATTACCTCAGACTACCTGTCTATAATGTTTCAATTATATTACCATATCAATGAAAAAAATATGTCAGTTATCTAGTACTCTTTTTTACAACTCATACTCACCTTATATGATTAACTTTACAACTCGTACTCACCTTATATGATTAACTTTACAACTCGTACTCACCTAATATGATTAACTTTCTGAAGATGTGCATTAAGTTGAAGTTTTTTCTGTGCATTGAACACAAGGCCAGTCAGCTGTGGATACAAATCAAAGGAAAGTGAGCCATTCGCATAACTAGCGTATTTGTTCTTTGTGAAAATATTCACACAGTGAACGCCGACAAAGAACCACCATGAGGTGAATGAAAAGAACATGAGGGAGGCACATGAATGTATACAAGTCATTGAAGTGTGTACATTGGTGAGAAATGAATGTATTGTACCTATGAATTATAGTACAGCAAAATAACATTTGGATTTATGTATATAAGGAAGTGTTTTCTTATGAAACCAAATATGACTTTTAATATAAAAGTAATTAATCAGGCATACACTGCAGATATAACAAGATATCCCAGAGGGATCTTGGCGCCCACCATTGTACCATCTTCATTAGTTCTTTGTCAGATCGATCTTTTCTCTTCTTTCCTCTAATCTGTTTGATCGAGTCATGTTAACAGTAAATGCGCCTTGAGGTAACTTTTGATCTAAATTTAATACTGATGTGTATGAAAGCCAACCTTCAAAGTGAGTTTGTCATTTCACATATTTACTAGTACAGTACTTAATGTGAAAGAAATAGAATCATTGCAATATGAGAAAGATCAGTTTAGTTCTTCTTTTAATCCATTTTGTTCTTATGATCACTCTCAAAATATAACATGCACAACGAGGGATCAAGGGGAACCTACATTTAAAATTTGAGAAAGATCCCTCCCATCCTTACCTATAACTCTTGGTTATTCAAAACAACATGTTACAAGATTTTAACTCATTTTACCCCAGTGACCTTGAAAGTCTAATAAATTCATTCAGTTGAAACAACTATGAATTTCTTAATCCCAAAATATCATCATCCTGTGGCTCTTTGTTATTGAGAAGAGTCATTTATATATGTTTCCACAATTCGATCCCTATGACCATGAAAGTAAGTAAAGGTAACTTCATTCACAAACTTTGTTGGCCTCCATCTAAGGAAGCTACTTATAAAACACCATGACTCCATGCCTTTCTCTTCTTCAAAAGAAGCTGTTTGCAGTTTTTGCCATATTTCACCCCTGCTACCAGCCAAAAATAATCATTCTAAACCTTCAAGTTCTTCAGAACAAGTCCTTTGAAGTGGTTGACATGTTTTACACCTGTAACCTGGAAAGTAAAGGTCAAGGTAATTTTCATTCACAAACTTTGTCGTGCTTTATCCCAGGAATATATCAGCCAAATATGAAAATTCTTTACCTTTCAGTTCTTCAGAAGAAGTTGTTTGAAGTGTTTGACACATTTGACCCCTGTGACCATAAAATTAGGTGTAGATAAATTTCATTCCCAAACTTCGTGGTGCTCTATCCCAGGAACATATCAGTCAAATATTACGATTCTATACCTTTCAGTTCTTCAGAAGAAGTCATTTGAAGCTTTTGACACATTTGACCCCTGTGACCTTGAAAGTAGAACAAGGTCATTTTCATTCTCAAACTTTGTTGGGCTCCATCCCAGGAACCAATCAGCCAAATATGAAGATTCTATACCTTTTAGTTCTTCAGAAGAAGTTGTTTGAAGTGTTTGACACATTTGACCCCTGTGACCATAAAATTAGGTGTAGATAAATTTCATTCCCAAACTTTGTGGTGCTCTATCCCAGGAACATATCAGTCACATATTACGATTCTATACCTTTCAGTTCTTCAGAAGAAGTTGTTTGAAGTGTTTTACATATTTGACCTCTGTGACCTTGAAAGTAGGTCAAAGTCATTTTGGTTCTCAAACTTAGTCGGGCTCCACCCCAAGAAGTTACCAGCCAAACATTGATATTCTATACCGTTCAGTTCTTCCCAAATATTATGATTCTTTACCTTCCAGTTCTTAAGAACAAGTCGTTTGAAGTGTTTGACATATTTGCCCCTGTGACCTTGAAAGTATGTCAAGTTCATTTTCGTTCTTACACTTTGTCAGGCTTTTACCAACGAAGCTTTCAGCCAAATATCCTGACTCTAGGCCTGTTCATTCTTCAGAATAAGTCTTTCAAAGGAGAAGTTGACAGACGATGACAGGTGGACGACAGATGCTGAGCAATGACATAAGCTCATGATCACTAGCACTTCGCAGGTGAACTAACAAAATGCTTTCCTCATATCTAGAGTGATTCTGCTCACTGGAGCCACTTCTCAAACTATTTTCAGAAACCAAAAGTCTCTCCCTACTTTAGACCACGCCTGTTTACCAGAAAGAAAGATTGTACAGCATTGGTAGAGCTTGGCTTGTTCCCTCTGTAGTAGCCATTCGCTCATTAAGACGCTTGTGGTTTTATTATGATACAAGCAACAAACAAAAAGTGTGTACGATATTGTCTGCTGAAAGGTCCTAATATCAGGGGTAAAACCAAACAAATCATAACTTAAAAAGGTTTATATACTAGATAATGTGTTGTACTATTTTATAAGTGATACTCGCCGAACTGGATTAATGAGAACATCACTCGTTTTACTGAAGGGCAATAGTTACTGTGGGCTTATTACCAGGCACCGGCCATGTTAATACTTACGGGATCAACATCCAGGACAGTCTCGTGTTCCTTTTTGTTTGGGTGCATGCCGATCACCCCTTCAATGACCTCTGTATCTGCCTGGAGGAAATGTGGATTAGAAATAACCACTGGGGCACCTGTAATGAAGCATTAAAAGGGCATATACAAATGTCAACTTTACTTTGGGACCAAGAAAAGATCTTTTAGGTTTAATATTAGAATACTAGAGGGGAGACAGTTCCTAAAACAACTGAGGAATCTAAACTGTTAGGTCTTCAGTGTTGACAGACAGCTCCAAAACAAGTCCTACCTGATTTGCACACACTAATATTGAGAACACCGGACGGGAGACAGTTCCCGGAACAGAACCCAGCGTTGTTCTCATTTAGAGATGCACGTTCAAACACCCTTGGTGGCACAGAGAAGCGGTACAGATCAACTCCTTTCAGGGAAACGTCTTTTTCAAATGATGCATATATGGACCTGTAACCAAACAAAGACTGAGCAAACCACTTGTTTACATGTTGGCATCCTATTGATAGCTTTTTAGGCATGGATCTAAAAAAACAGTTAAACATCAGACATGCCTGAACAACTCTTTTGGCAAAGATGGAAAGATAGCCTTGGCAAGCAATCTTGTTATCTCCTTCCAAAACCTATAACACTCAATTCAAGTTTATATTGTGTTAACCTAAGTAACTAAATGTTTACCTTGTAATAAATGTTAAGTGTTGACAACAAGAGGCTGTGAGGGCCTGTATTGCTCACCTAGATCTTAATGCCCTGCAATGGTATATATGCATATGGCTATGTGTTCAGCATCTCAACCATTTCAAAGTTATAGCCCAGAAGTCCCTATGGCCCCTTAATTAACCCTTTAAGCCCTGATGATGCATTAATGCATTACCGGGTCTGGGCCAAATGATGCATTTATACAGTTGATAAAATATACAAATAAAATGATTTGTTTGTAATTATATGTGCCTGAAATCATGAATGGACATTAAATCATTAATTTCAAATAGAAATTTGACTATAACAGCACATTTACGTCCAGGTACTAGAATTTTCATAAAGAAAACATTTTGTAAAACTGGCTCCAGAGCTTTCCAATGTTAAATACATCGTTGTTCAGTTAAACGAACTTATTGGATTTTGTAATGAATTTTAGAATCAGTATTAAATAAAATTATTGTGTGAAACACTGGTGCATCACGTCACGGACACCGGAGAAGTAACATTAAACCTTGCCCTTCTACATGCAAGCATTTATGACTGAATTTTTGTTATCAATCGAGATTGAGTTCTCAAATTATGAATATGAATTGATATGCATATTCTGGTGTTTTTTTGTAGATAATTTTGTTGCAATTGATGAAACTTTATTAACTTGAAACGTCAGTAGATTGACAATTACTCTACTGAAGTATATATAGTAACAGAAATCACGTGATCAAGATTCATTCAAAATGGCAGCGAAAGATGTGCGCAGGTTGAGTCAATCAGTATATGCGTAATTTTCATGGGGTTTTCGCAATGTTGATGGGTTTAAACATGCAATTTATGTTACTTATAGCATTCTCATTATGTATCAAGTGATGATATTGACTAATAAAGCTGTTATTGACGCTGTCATGGTAGATGTTTGCGTGAAAGTTCAGACGGTGAAAATGTCAAGGAATTTAAAGCCAAAGAATTTGAATTAAATTTCATTTAGTTTTACATGTTTAGAGATATGATAGGATATATATGTTGTCACACCGTACCAATTCCTGTATTAATCAATACTAACATCATAATTGTGTTTGTCTCTTGATCCCCAGCAATGGTATATATGGTTATTGGGCGGGGATCTCACCCGTTTCAAAGTTATGACCCAATAATTAAATCCCTAGATGGGGAACAAGACCCAAGGGTCTATTATTAAATATTACAGTGTTTATTACTTTATGCCTATCAAATTTATGGTTCTATTGCTTGTGTGTACAAATGAATATATAGATCAGTCATACATTTGTAAGTGTACTTTCATGTTTTACTTCACCTATTTGTGTATGTAAGTTGTGCTTACATTATACTTTGTTATTCAACCTAATACATTTTGGGGCACTCAGTTAAACTCCCATATCATTTAACTGAGTTTTGGCATATCCATTCAAAATTAATTGTTTTAATTTAATAATTTCTCATTTTTTTCCCCAAAAATTCTTAACTAAGAGTTTTAAGTTTGAGCTATTTGCAACCTAATTCTCATAAGCTAGTGTATCACACAACTAGATACAATGAGCGTGGGAATTGGGGACAATGTTACAAAGCATAACTATTGTAAACCTCATTCGGACTTATTAAAGCTCATCTGAACAACCTACCTGAAGCATTGAGAAATAGCTCTTCACTAACGTCTTTCTCTCTAGCACTGTCAAATCTATCCACTCCACAAAAAACTCTTTATATGCATATGGACATGGGAAAGGAAAAATCAATCACTCTAGAATAAGAATGGGACTAAGTGTTAGATGAAATACATTTCTTTTTACTTTGTCCAAAATCTCGTGTGTGTGTGTGTGTGTGTGTGTGTGTGTGTGTGTGTGTGACATTTGTACGTCTTTTGTGTAATTGTACATATTGTATGTTTGATATATGTTGAGGAGAGCATTTAGTAGCCTTCGGGCTGTTTGTAATCCTCGTAAAATAAATAAACAATTAAATTAAATTAAAGCTCATCAAGCTGCAACGAAATGAGGTTTATGAACAAGTTTTATATTTACATATTTATGCCAATTCATTTTCACAATACATAATATTATTCCTTATCCAGACCTGGTAGCTCATCAAGCTACACTGAGATGGGGAATAGAATACATGTAGTGTTTACCGGTTTACCGCTACACCAAGTACCGCTCCATTCGCCTTGCAGTATCACATCCTGTCTGGTATATACGGTCCGCTAGCTGATTGGTTTAGGAGTCAATAGCTTCACAATTTGTGAGCAATCAATCTTACCCGACACACTCAGGTGAAGGAATGTTCACCATGCATACATGTTTTAGTACATAGTAACTGAGTTGCCCCTTTTTGCTATTTTTTTGTTTATTGTGTTTTAATATATATATGTTTGTATTTTATTTCTTTTGTGTGGATGGAGATTGAATTTGAAATGTTTGTAATAAATATGTAGTTAAATGTCACTTTTATCTTCTAGTCATTTGTTCAGTTTAAAAGTTTAATTATTAAATATTACAGTGTTTATTACTTCATGCCTATCAAATTTATGTAAGGTTATGGGGTGGGGATCTAAACCATTTCAAAGTTATGGCCCAGAAATAAAGTCCCTAGGGATGGGGCGAGACCCCAGAGTCAGAGTGCTATCTCATGTTTGTGTTTCTCTCTTGATGATCAGCAACTGTTTACATGGTTATAGGGTAAGGATCTCGATAATGTCCAAGTTAAAAAGACTATTTAGGCCCTGCCCCTCAGACCTGGGGGTCAGCCCTTTAACTAGTACTATTTCAAATCCTCAACCACTGAAGAATGCTCCAAACCAAACATGGTTGATATCAATCACTTCGTTCCAGTGATGAAGTCGTTGTAACTGAAGAACATGTGACTTCACATTTCCAGTGAAGTCTCCATATCGGGTGATGGCATATCATCATTGTGCGTGTGTACTATTGTTTACCCGGTGTTGATATAATTTACACTACAGTATTGAAATGCCCGATAGGCTTTATGAAAATGACGACATGAAAATATGAAAAGAAAAACATGTCTTTTACAAAGAATGGGAAGTCCTTAAATCCACTAAGTCCTCAGGACCATTTTTAGATTAAAAGTTGACAAACGGACAACGGATGCCACGCCATGGCTTAAGATCACTTGCTCTTTTGGCAGGTGAGCTAAACATTAGCCTTTCACAGGCGATGTTTATACAACAAGAGGCCCAGAGGGCCTGTATCGCTCAATTGGATATCTAAGCAATCATGGCAAAATATTCTCCAAATGAGATCCAAGGGAATATGCCAGACCCCAAGACCAATCCTTGTAGGATATCTGTATTAGAATTTTCATGCCCAGCAATTTTATGTACGGTTATGGGGTGAGGATCTCAACTGTTTCCAAGCTGTGACTCAGAAACTAGGTCCCTAGCGTTGTGGCCAGACCCCAGGATCAATTCTAATATCATGACTGCATTTGTCTCTTTTTGCCCAGCATTTGGATATATAGTTTTGGGGTGGGGATCTCAACGGTTTTAAAGTTATGAGACCCAAGGGACTATGTCTCCAAGGGTGGGGCCAGACCCTAGCGCCATTCTGGAAGCAAATGTGCATTTTTCTCTTAATACTCAGCAATGGTATAGATGGTTATACGGTGGGGATCTCAACCATTTCCATGTAATAAACATTTTTTGGCCCCACCCCTTAGCCTGGGGGGTCAGCCCCATCATTTGTACAATTTTGAATCTCTGCCTCCCATGAATGCTTCTGACTAAATATGATCTATATCCATGGCATAGTTCAACAGAAGAAGTCGTTTACAGCAATATAGTCAAATTTCCCCCTTTTGGCCCCGCCCCTCAGCCCCCTGGGGGATCAGCCCCACCATTTGTACAATTTTGAATTCCCATCACATAGAGATGCTTCCAGTCAAAGTAAGTTAAATTCCATTCAGTGGTTAAGAAGAAGAAGTTGTTTAAAGAAATTGTTGACGTACGGATGACGGACTGACGACGGACGTCACAGTATGGCATAAGCTCAACTTGGTCCTTTGGATCCGGTGAGCTAAAAACGAGTCCCCCCTTGCCAAAGAATTGCTTTGACCAAATTTGGTTTTAATCCATCAAATTAAACTACAGAAGGATTTCAAAGATTTAATTCAAATTCAATTGTGGGCCCCTAACCTTTGTTCTTAGGGGGGTAAAACCCACTATTTATACCAAAGTAAGTCCCCTTAGCCCAAGGATGCTCAACACATTTTTTTTTTTAAATCCCTCCAATTGTACTAAAGGAAAAGGATTCTAAAAATGAATTACTATGTTTCCCTTATTGTGCCCCATCCCCCTGTCCTTAGCGGGGCCACACCAATCAAACTGAAGGAGAACGATTTCCTCATCATTCTCCCCCTAGGCGGACCACAACCTCCATTATACAAAATTTAAGTCCCGTTGCCCAAGGATGCTTCAGGCCAAATTTGGATAAAATTCCTCCAATGGAACAGAAGAAGACAGATTTTAAAGATTTTAGTCTCAAATTCCCCTAGTTGGCCCTGCCCCTCTGCACTCAGATGGGCAACACCCTATGTTTATACATCTTCCATTTATAAATATTCAATTCCCTTTGCCCAAAGATTCTCTAGAACAAGTTTGGTTAGGTTAAAATCCCTTCAATGGTACAGAAGGATCTTTAATGTTTTCCTCTATTTCCCCTAATGGGTCCACTCATCTGCCCCAAAGAAGGGGGTCCACACACCTCAGTTTAAACAAAATTGATTCTTTTGTCCCTAAGCATGCTTCAGGCTGCATTTGCTTTAAATCCCTTCACTTGTATAGTACATGTAGGAGAAAAAAAATCCTCTATTTCGCCTATTGGGCCCCGCCCCTATGCCCCTGAGAGGCCACACCCTCTGTTTATACAAACTTGAGGCTCCTTTGTCCAAAGATGCTCTAGAACAAATTTGGTCAAAATCCTTCTATTGGTTGAGAAGAAGAAGATTTTTAAAGATTTACCAATTTTCACCCTATTTGGCCCCGCCCCTCTGCCCCCAGGGGCACCATACCCTCCATTAATACAAAACTGAGAACCCTTTGGCCAATGATGCTCCAGACCAAATTTGGTCAAAATCCCTTCATCGGTACAAAAGGAGAAGGATCTTTGATGTTTTCCTCTATTTCCCCTATTGGGCCCCACCCATCTGCCCCAAAGAAGGGGGCCCACACACCTCAGTTTAAACAAAATTGATTCTTTTGTCCCTAAACATGCTTCAGACTGCATTTGGTTTAAATCCCTTTATTTGTATAGTAGGAGAAAAAAAATCCGCTATTTCCCCTATTGGGCCCCGCCCCTCCCCCCCCAGAGGGGCCACACCCTCCGTTTATACAAACTTGAGTCTCCTTTGTCCAAAGATGCTCTAGGATAAATTTGGTCAAAATCCATCTATTGGTTGAGAAGAAGATTTTTAAAGATTTACCTATTTTCCCCCTATTTGACCCTGCCCCTCTGCCCCCAGGGGAACCATACCCACCGTTTATACAAAACTGAGAACCCTTTGGCCAACGATGCTCCAGACCAAATTTGGTAAAAATCCTCTGAGCCGTTCAGGACTAGTAGCGTTTTAAAGGAAAAAGTTGACGGACGATGGACGCCGGATGCCGGACACCAGATGACGAACGACGGACGCTGCGGCATGGGAAAAGCTCACTTGGCCCTATGGGCCAGGTGAGCTAAAAATTATGGGCAGACTACGGACGCCGGAGTAAGGCATAAGCTGACAATGGTCCTATGGACCCGGTGAGCTAAAAATAACTTTTTGGCCAACTGCGGCAGGTTTACCTACCGGTATATTTTTAGGATTTTGAAGAGAAGTTAAATTACCTGCAGATATCAGTGGAGAAGATATACAGCCGGTCTGATTTTTCAACAAAAGGAGGAAACATTGTTCCATCTGGAATAAAGGTCAATGTTTAAAGTTACACCTTTCCTTAATTAAATAAACAATCCTAGCAAAAGAGTATTTGAACAATGTGGATAATTGTAGACACATATCTACATGTGGATAATTGTGGACATGTCTCTACATGTGGATAAATGTGGACACTTATCTACCTGTGGATGTTTTTGGACACACATCTACCTGTGGATATTTTTGGACACATATCTACACATTGATAATTGTAGACACATATATACATGTGAATTTTTTTTGGACACATATCTACACATTGATAATTGTAGACACATATCTAACTGCGGATATTTTTGGACACATATCTACCCATTGATAATTGTAGACACATATCTACATGTGAATATTTTTGAACACAAATCTACACATTGATAATTGTAGACACATATATACCTGTGAATATTTTTGGACACATATCTACATGTGAATATGACTATGCCTACATGCAGACAACTATAATTGTAGACACATATCTACCTGTGAATATTTTTGGACACATATCTACATGTGAATATTTTTGGACACATATCTACCTGTGGATATTTTTGGACACATATCTACACATTGATAATTGTAGACACATATCTAA